CCTTTTCCTCTCTCTCAGGCTTCCATCTTTATTGTCTTTTCCGCTGAGGGTGAGGATAATGTACACCTGTCATCAGAAACAGGGGTGCAGAGTCCATGGAATGGCTCTCAGGATTGGTACAGAAGTTGCACCTCAAAAGCATTTCTGTTCCTCTTATTCTTTGTAGGCAATGTCAGAGTGACTGACAAGCTGAGATACAATCCTTCATCATCCGATGACAGCGACTGCATGAATCTTCCCAGTCAAATTACCCATTTTCATGATAGACAATGCCTGTGGCTGGAGGCTCTACACACCGGGTGTGCCTGTGCAGGCCAAAGACTGCCAGTGTTAGCACAGGTGAGGTGTGTGTCATTCCCAAATTTACAGACTGTATGTAAATGAGAAGTTGTGGGTGGGATTATAATTTACGGCAACCCTGTGATTTTCTCTGCCCATAACATTTCGTAAGCTAATATTGCAGTAAAAATTCCAAAATAACTACAAAAAATCACAAGATAATAATAATAGTACAGTGGTACTTCGGGTTAAGAACTGAATTCGTTCTGCAGGTCCATTCTTAATCTGAAACTGTTCTTCACCTGAAGCACCACTTTAGCTAATGGGGCCACCACGCCGCTGGAGCACAATTTCTGTCCTCATCCTGAAGCAAAGTTCTTAACTAAAGGTACTATTTCTGGGTTAGTAGAGTCTGTAACCTGAAGCTCCTGTAACCTGAGGTACCACTCTAGACGTTATAGTATTAGTATTTTCCCCCAGCCACTCTGGGCAGCTTACAGTACATATAGGTAAAGGTAAAGGGACCCCTGACCATTAGGTCCAGTTGTGGCCGACTCTGGGGTTGCAGCGCTCATCTCACTTTCTTGGCCGAGGGAGCCGGCGTACAGCTTCCGGGTCATGTGGCCAGCATGACTAAGCCACTTCTGGCAAACCAGAGCAGCGCACGTTGTTCAATGAGAGCAATGATCACATTTAGAGACCAGAACCTGGCCAAGTTCATCTACAGATCAAGATATATATTCTTAAAGGCCCAGATAAAAATTCTCAGATTTTTTGAAAAACAAGGCACCACTGAATCCCCTTCTGGAAGCAAAGCATGCAAACCCTAGTAAGGAGAAACAACCTCCCAAAACCTGGCCTGGTCTCCAGAAACAAGAGCCTCAAAAGAATGAAGATGAGGATCTTTTCTCCGTGGAAGAAAATACCTTAATTAGGCAATTTTGCCATTTTCCATCTCCAATACAAACTGAAATATTAGAAAGACTAGATATGCTAAGAATTAAGCTGGCTGGGAGAGATACAAATAAGGAAATCAATGTGGACGCCCATAAAAAGGACCAGGCTTCCTATAATTTGAACCCTATACAAGAACAAAACCCAGCGGCCTGTCGGCCACGCTACCTCCAGGGGAACCAGTGTTGTCGACTACATTTTATTGACGCCGGAGCTATTCTCAATTTCTACAAAAATGGAAGTGGCTGAATATTTTGGTGGTGACCACCTTCCATTGACTCTATTGTTAAACCTAATAGAGCCATTTTCAGCCCCCTCAAACTATAGTTCCACGGCACAAAGCCACCCTGTATACAAAACAAAGAAATGGACAAGCCTCAGTTCCTCTCTTGCCCTGGACATACAAAAATCATTTGATATGTCTGCAGTTCCCTCTGACCCAATTCTGCCCGCTGACCAATACCGGAAATTAATCGATGCTTTCTCAACAACTTACATAACCACCACCTCGCCTATCCACCAACGCCTCTTCTCTGAATCACCTTGGTTTGACAAGGAATGTAAAGCCCTAAGAAGGCGAATTAGGAAAATGGTCAGAATCATCAAATTTTCCAACGACCCCCAAACCCGTGCAAAGCTCATAGATACTAAAAGGACATACAGAAACATGATTCATTGCAAGAAACAGCAGCACATCCTTGAGGCTTGGTCCACTCTTCGTTCGGCTGTAGAGAGGCATGACTCCCGCTCCTTCTGGCGCTTAGTTAGACCTTCGGCACCACTCAACTCAGCTACCCAGATTTCCGCTGATGAATGGATTGCCTATTATTCAACCAGTTTCGCTTCTCCAAATCATCTTACAGATTTCCTTCAATCCCCGTCGGACCTCTGTTCCTGTTCTCTTAGTCCCACTTCCTCAATAAACTTTACCTCAACTCTCATCTTCAACATCATAATGTCCATGCGAAGGAATAAGGCCCCCGGCCCAGACATGGTCCCGTTGGACCTTTTCCTGACTGATCCTCTTTGGTGGAGCGAACAGCTGACTCCTGTATTCACCGCTATCTCCTCCGCCCTAGACATCCCCGACTCCTGGAGAGAAGCTATAATAGTTCCGATCTTCAAAGGCGGCCAGCCAAACATCCCTAGGAACTATCGCCCCATCAGTTTATTATCTATTCCGGGGAAAATATTTGCCGCTGTTTTACTGGAAGAACTTCTTTCATGGGTCCAGGAGAGGAACATTCTACCGCTAGAACAGATTGGCTTTCGAAAGTCAGCATCAACCATGGACCACTGTCTAACTCTCTATCACCTTGCTAGTAAATACACTGCACCAAGGCAAGGCCACCTATTTGCCGCTTTCATGGACCTGGAGGCCGCCTTTGATTCCATTCCTAGGCAGAGATTATGGTCCAAACTTGCCCATCTGGGAATTGATCCGCACCTCCTCTCCCTAATTATTTCCCTTTATTCAAACACCACAGCTCGCGTCCGAAGTGGTCCCAACGGCTCCCTTACCACTCCATTCCCAACAGCCAAGGGCGTCCGACAAGGTTGTCTCTTGGCCCCTTTACTGTTTAATCTCTATCTTCATGATGCAATTACCCCTTTGAAGCTAGCATCTAAGTATCCTCCTCACTTAGCAGGCCACCCCATTGTTTCCCTTTTCTATGCAGATGACGCCGTCATCTTATCCAGAACAGCTGCGGACCTAGCCAATACAGTTAATGCATTTATCGCCTATTGTAAGGCGGAAGCTCTTAATATTAATTATAAAAAATCGAAAGTCCTCCACTTCACTCGTTCCCGCAAACTCAAGCTGGAGCCGCTTAAGATCACAGGTGGCTACTTAGAAAAGGTAAAAGCCTTTAAATATCTAGGCTTAATATTCACCTATAATCTCTTCTGGACCACCCATCTACAATCTGCCTTTCTCGCTGCAACCACGACCTCTAATGCCATTGTCCGATTTTACCACCAGAAGGGCGGCAAACACCTTCCAGCAGCAATTCAAATATTTAATGCCAAAGTTGTCCCTAAATTATTATATGGCTGTGAAGTATGGACTACAGCAATATCAGGTAACTTGGATCGCCCACTTCATATGTTTCTGAGATCTCTTTCCGGCGTCCCGAGATGTGTCTCAGGTGCAGCCCTACGACTTGAGTTCGCCCAGCCCTCAATTGTAAAACGAGCATGGAGTCGAGCCATTTCCTATAGCTCCCACCTACTAGCATCGGATGCTCGAATTAGAGGTGGTTTTTCCAATCTGATCCTAAGAGATATTCATAATTCCCCCTGGAAAACTACAATTAACCTCAAACTCCGCTCTTTTCTCAATCTGAATTGCAAAACTGTTCTTAACTTAGAGTGTATCAGTCCGGCGGCCCTACCTCCAATTAAAAAGAAGCTACAGCAACTTGACTTCTCTAATACAGCTGCCCATGCAAGAGGGCCGTGTTCAGGCCTAGCCCTAGCTATCCCACCCCCTGAAGGGATCCCTCTATACTGCTTCACAATTTCTTCGGAGGCTAAGCGAAGGGCCTTTACCTGTGCCCGTCTCAACTGTTTTCCTACAGCAGTTCTGTCGGGTCGTTATTCCAGAGTTCCCATCGCAAATAGAACATGCACCTGTAATGACACGGCTCTGGAGACTATGGAACATGTAATGCTCTTCTGTCCCAACTGGACAGATGAAAGATCTCGGTTTTTAACTCCTCTCGTGAACAAGCTTCATCTCCCAATCCAGCCCTGGATAGAGTCCCTTTTTTTGCAGGATTCTGATTGTTGGATTACCGAGATGACAGCTAACTTCCTGCTCAGTGTGATGAAGAGGAAAGCGGCACTAACTTCTTCTTTAACACCACAGCTGCAGTCGATATGCCGCACAACTGAACGAAGTTCCAAGTAGCCTTATTATACAAGGACAATGGAGCTAGGACAAATCTGAGGAGCCGAAGGACCCTTTAATGATCCTCCGCCAGCCTCAGCAGTTTTTTGTCTTTCTGTTTTTGTACTAATCTGTCACTCGATGTTTTAAATCCCCTGTCCCTTTTGTTATCCCCCTTTCCCCCCCCCTTTCTTTAAGTACTCGCCCAGGACGATATCTACCTTTATCTTCCCACCCCCCATTTTATGTTGTTATTTCTATGTACATCATGCTATGGCCACACGGCTAACGCAATAAAATCTATTGATACCTTCCCGCCGGAGCGGTACCTACCGTATTTTTCGCTCTATAAGACACACCTAGTTGTGGGGGGAGGAATCCAAGAAAAAAAGATTTTTGAATCCCAGAAGCCAGAACAGCAAGAGGAATCTGGCTTCTGGGATACTGTGTGGCTGTTCTGGCTTCTGGGATAACAGCGCCAAGGGCAGCAGGATGAAGACGCTAAGGCAGAAGCCAGGACAGGCGCCTCGCTGAAGGGGCGCTGCGCAGTTCTCCCTCTTTGCGCAGCCGAAGACTGATAAGCATAACAGGATCCAAAAATAGCAAAAATGTAACCCTGACTTAGCATTCCAAAACAGCACTCAAGTAAGAAACAGACAAGCAGAGTAGAGTAATATCAGAATATGAAGTGGGAGCAGGCGCATTTCAATACTGTAATTTATATATAATTCAATGTCAGAGTAACCCTGGGACTAGATAAAAAGCCTCCAGGTGGACGTGCCCCATCTGCCCTTCACTTTCCTCTTCCGCACGGGCAGAATCTGCCTTCTGGACTGTGGGATTCACGGTTGTTCTCCTCCTCTCCATCCACCAGGGCTTGACTTCACGTCCAGCAGAATTCCCCAGCCCCCCAAGGATTTGAGACCCATCAGCTTTCCTCACCTGGTTTAGCCGGCCGGTTGAAGCCGTTGCTTGAACCCCTGTTGCATGCTGACAGCTTCTGGAAGCCACAGGTGAGAGCTGAGTGCAGGGTGGGGACCAAGGGTGGAAAAATGACCCCAGAAGGTGTAGGACATGTCCCCCACCAAAGGAACTACTGCTCCCCAACACCCCATGACATCTAGATTCAGGTAGGTAGCCGTGTTGGTCTGACACAGTTGAAATAAAAAATTAAAAAATAGTCCAGTAGCACCTTAGAGACCAGCTAATTTTGTTCTAGGTATAAGCTTTCGTGTGCATGCACACTTCTTCATATACACTGAAACAGATGTCACCAGACCCTTGTATATCGTGGGAGGGTGGGGTGGGGTTTTTCTCAGAAAGGTACTCCTACTACCATCTCCCACTACCCTTCACTATATGAAGAAGTGTGCAAGCACATGAAGTGTGCAAGCACTTGATCCCTAAGTGCTGTTGCTGTTGTTGTTGTTTATTCGTTTAGTTGTGTCCGACTCTTCGTGACCCCCTGGACCAGAGCACGCCAGGCACTCCTGTCTTCTACTGCCTCCCGCAGTTTGGTCAAACTCATGCTGGTAGCTTCGAGAACACTGTCCAACCATCTCGTCTTCCGTTGTCTCCTTCTCCTTCTGCCCTCCATCTTTCCCAACATCAGGGTCTTTTCCAGGGAGTCTTCTCTTCACATGAGGTGGCCAGAGTCTTGGAGCCTCAGCTTCAGGATCTGTCCTTCCAGTGAGCACTCAGGACTGATTTCCTTCAGAATGGAGAGGTTTGATCTTCTTGCAGTCCATGGGACTCTCAAGAGTCTCCTCCAGCACCATAATTCAAGGCATCCATTCTTTTGCAATAAGCCTTCTTGATGGTCCAGCTCTCACTTCCATAATCACTACTGGGAAAACAATAGCTTTAACTATATGGACCTTTGTTGGCAAGGTGAGGTCTCTGCTTTTTAAGATGCTGTCTAGGTTTCTCAATGCTTTTCTCCCAGGACCCTAAGGTGCTACTGGACTATTTTTGTTAATTTTTTACTTCAACTGTGTCAGACCAATATGTCTACCTACTTTTAAGTACAGTTATCTCCTTGCCTTGAATATCCTGCCTTTCAGTGCCAGATTAGGATAGTCCTGTGTCAGAAGACAAGCAAAGGTTCAGGCAGCACATCATCATTATAAAGAACCATTGGGGTGGGTGTTTCTGCCTGGGATTCCCATGTGCCATCTGCTTTCCTTCTGCTTCTCCTGCTCTCTCCATGCAATGTGAGGCATGTAGATGGAGGTCCATCTCCCAGAACAGGAGCTTCCCTGAGCACCCATTCAGCTGGCGCCAAGCACCAAGCCTTGTCACTAGTTCTCTGACTGACCCAGACCACAGTCCCCAGAAAAGACATAGACCTGGGTCTCCCAAAATGGTCCATATGGACCTCCTGAGGTCAGTGGGTCTGTGCAGGTGATTCATGAAGATCTAGAGGTGGAAATGGGGGCAGCCACTTGATTTGAAAGGCAGACTCAGAGGACAACAGTATTCCAAGATCATGCTGTGTTATTAAAGATGATTTAGGGTTATGAAAGGTTGCTGATGCATTACTACCATTTGACACCTTACCATTTTCATTTCCTAAAAATTGGGAACATGGGGAGGACATGGGAGAATGTAGGAGATGTTGAAATAGGAGAAGGTGCTAATGGCGGTTGATAGGCCCTTTTTTCTGTGTTCTCTTTCCTGAAACCCAAACAGGATTTCCTTTCTGCCCACTCTGAAAAAGGTGATGGAGAAGACAGAATTGCAGGGGACAGGGCACCTTTCGTTTCATTAGGAATAGCCATTAAAATGTGTGAAATGTGGAATATGCTTCACTGAATGAGCACACATAGTTCACATCAACGAACAGAAAAAGGAAAGAACCCATTTAAAGGTATTGAGTGCGGAAAGAGCTTGTGTTTCAATGCAAAACTTAGAAAACACCAGTGGACTCACACAGAGAGAAAACTCACACAGAGAGTATGGGAAGAACTTCAGTCAGAGTGGAAACCTTAAATTGCACAAACGGACTCACACAGGGGGGAAACCATATGAATGTATGGAGTGTGGAAAGGAATTTAGTAATAGTGGAAACCTTGGAAGACATCAACGGGAACACACAGGGGAGAAACTTTATAAATGTATTGAGTGTGGAAAGAGCTTTAGTGATAATGGAAAACTTAGAAGACATCAATGGACTCACACAGAGGAGAAACCATTTAAATGTATAAAGTGTGGAAACGTCTACAGTCAGAGTTGGCACCTGAGAAGACATCAACGTACTCACACAGGGGAGAAACCATTTCAATGTATGGAGTGTGAAAAGAGCTTTAGTGATAGTGGAAGCCTTAGCAGACATCAACAGACTCACACAGGGGAGAAACCATTTAAATGTATGGAATGTGGAAAGCGCTTCAGTCACAGTGGAAGTCTTAGAAGACATCAATGGATTCACACAGAGGAGAAACCATTTAAATGTATGGAGTGTGGAAAGCGCTTTAGTGATAGTGGAAGCCTTAGCAGACATCAACAGACTCACACAGGGATGAAACCTTTTAAATGTATGGAGTGTGGAAAGAGCTTCAGTTATAGTGGAAACCTTAGAAGACATCAACATGCTCACATCGGTAAGAAACAATTTAAATGTATGGAGTGCGGAAAGAGCTTTAGTGATAATGGAAAACTTAGAACTCATCAACGGACTCACACGGAAGAAACCATTTAAAAGTATGGAGTAAATACTAAATGCTTCACTCTGAGTGGAAATCTGAGAAAACATCAGCAGACACACAGGGGAGAAACCATTTAAAGGTATGGACTGTAGAAGGAGCTTCAGTCAGAGTGGAAGCCTTGATTTATGTCAACAAACTCACACAAAAGACAACCCATATAAATATCAGGAAATTAGATAGAGGTTCACTCTTAGTGGAAGTTCAAAATCAACAGACTCATGGACAGGAGAAGCAGTTTAAATGAAAAGACTGCAAAAAGTGCTTTATTTTATATTGGAGTGATTAAGAAACATCTAGGGACTCTCACATGGGAGAACCCATTTAGATGTATGGAGTGTGGGACGTCTTCCTCTCAGAGTCCACCCTGAGCAATGAATTCAGCAGGAAATCATTCCTAAATGCATGAGGTATATTTGATGTTCTGGTGTTTATATGTTAAACTGTATAATAATGAAATAATGAAGGCAACATCTCACAATCATGAGTATAATTTTAGATGAAAGTACCTTTGGTTTTTGCACCAAACTCTGTCACCCCCCCCCCACCGCATGATCTCCAAGCACTGCTTCTTCACCAGAACTTCATCGCTGCCTCCTGCCCTGCGCGTTCTGAAGAAAACTTGAAATACTGAAATTGAATGGGAGATTTCCCCCAAGCCTAATTTCAAGAGGGGAAAGGAGGGGCTGCAGGTACCAGGGAAATCTCCTGGGGGGGGGTCATCTTCACTCATGAACCCCATGGGGCAACCCCAGAGCCCTGCTTATTCCAGGGTTTGGGAAAGAGTGTATTTTTCCATAGTCCCAGAAGTTTTGCTTTAATCATGCTACTCGGGAGTTTTCCTACCAGAGGACCACAGTGCTGTGGCTGCTGTTGTTGTTATGGACTGGCTGGTGGGGGGAGGCACCAGCTGGGGGACTCACAAGGGAAGAAGGCTCAGAGCCCAGGGACTTGTGGTGCGATGGCAATAAGCCGAAAGAGGGGGGAAAGGGAGCAGACCGGAAGGGGAGATGCAGTATGAGATTCCAAATTCTTTGTATATGTGTGTAATTTAAATCAATAAAGATTATTTTAAAAAAATAAATAAATTTGTGGCCGGCCTGATCAAGCGTTGCTTCCTCTGGTTAGCCCCGCTGGAACTCCAGTTCATTCCAGACCCTGGGGTCTCCAGAGGACTGGTGGCTCCTCCTGGCAAATGGCCTGCTGCGCGCTGGATCACCAGTCCTTCCTTGCCCCCAGAATCCGGGCAACCGAAGGTCCCATCTGGGGTGCCATCTGTTGTAAACAAAAGCTGCCCTTCTTCCCTTATGGGGGACACAAGAGCCCTTTACAGAGTCCCTTGTGGGTTCTCCATCGGTAGGAGGAAATAACAGAGGCAACCAGAAACTATTGAGAAGCAAAGCAGCTAGTAAGCCTGATCTTTATTGATCTGTTGCAACAGGGTGCTCCCCTGAGGAGGACCCCAAACCAAGGCGTGCCAGCCCTTATATAGACATTTTAAATTCCCTGACCTGGAGCTCCAGACCACCCCTGCATTCATCACAGAAGGGGCGTAACCCAAGACCACCTACTACAAAAATCTTACCTACATCACAGAAAAGGTGGTCTACAACAGAAATTTGAATGTTGTTGCTTTTCCTGTCTGCCAGGTTATCTGATAATGCCTTATCTGATTCCCTTTCCTGGTAGTCTGGCCATTCCATTGAGATTGTGATTACCCAATTCCTGAGACAATGGGAAGGTTCCCTCACCCGCTCCCTCCTTGCAGAGAAAACATTTGGTCAGTTTGGGAGTGTAAATGGTTTCAGGACGGTCTTCCTCTGCTGCTCCAGACATGTGGTCGACATATCTATGTATGTGCTTGGTTGGTACATTTATGCACATTTATTATCTATATAAGACATTGTAACGGAAAATCTAGGTGTGAGGCTGCTCTGCCACCTAGCTCGTCTGACTGAGTCTGCAGGTCCCTGCGGAACAAAAGGAGCGCAGCCAGAGACTGAAGCATTTATTCAGCTAATATTCTCCTTTCCCTTCCTGCCCCACAACAAACACTCTGTGAGGTGAGTGGGGCTGAGAGACTTCAGAGAAGTGTGACTAGCCCAAGGTCACCCAGCAGCTGCATGTGGAGGAGTGGAGACGCGAACCCAGTTCCCCAGATTACGAGACTACCGCTCTTAACCACTACACCACGCTGGCTATCGACAAGACACTCAGGTTACCACCACAACTCCTCCCTCAACCCCTCCTCTTTGTGATGGGTCAATGATGTAGTCATGATGTAGTCTTGGGGGTGTAGCGTGGGGGATTAGCAGCTAATAAAAGTTGGGGTCTTCTTTTGTTGGGGGCTTCCATCTTGTTCCACCTGGGGGCAGGTGGGAGTCCTGTGGCGACAGTCTTTAATCAAGACCAAGCCGACTGGCTGCTCTTTTGCTCTGCTCTTCCTGGCTGGTCTCCTTGTTTCTGGTCCAAGGGATCCCTCAGATTTTGGAATCCGCTTCTGGCTACAATTGTATCGGCTGCTTTGCTGAGCCTCTTGGCTGTTGTGCCTGGACGGGGCCTGTGTCCACGGTCCTTGTCCTGGCCTGAGTCAGAGGCTGGGGTGGGGAGCTGGGATTTGGGGGGAGTCGTTTAGCTGCCCCCCCGTTCCTGGTTTGAACAGCACCAAGACCTAAAAGACGGAGGGATCTAAGTTCGTGGGGTGGGGGTTGTGAGGATGTTGCAATGCAAACCTTGTAGGAGGGACGGGACCCACTTGGCAGCTGGATCTCCGGGATCAGCCCCTCCCCCGCTCTCCTAATCCAGAAGGAAGAGGGGAGGGGGGAAACCTTCCTCTCCCCCCCTCAATTCTTTCCCTCCCCTCCCGGCACATCCTCCTCTCACCCCGCCCCCACAACCCCAATTCCCGCCCCCCATACGTTGCACCCCTTCCTCCTCCTCTTCCTCCTCCTCCTCCTCCAATCCGGCTCTTGTGTTACAGGAATGGGGGGGTGAGCCCCCTCCCACCCTGCCTTCTTCTCCCGGAAGTGGAGCTTCCACTCCGGATTGCTGCTCTGCCCCGTAGCTCTAGGGGGGCGCTAGGATGTTGCAGGAAAGGAGAATCGGGAGCGAGGAGAAAGAGGTAAAGGGGTCCCGGGGGGGAGGGGGGAGAAAAGGACCCAAAGACCCCTCCAGCTCCCCCAAGCGCCTTCCGTGGGGCCTGGATCCCGGCACGCGTGCTGCGAAGGGGCGGAGATGGGGCGCCCACCCACGAGGACTCCTTGGCCCCGTTTCCCCCGCGCAGGCATCCCTGGGGCGCGGAGAGAAGCCAGGATAGAGACCCCCTGTTCCTCCCCCACTCCCGTTGGGGGGCCGTAGGATGGAGAAATGGGGCGAGCAGGGTGAGGGGCCAGTCGCGCCGGAGTGCAGGGGAAACTACGGGAGAGAGGGAGGGGGGAGGAAGCGGAGCACTGGGTGGGGGGGGGAGATAGGAAGAACAGTCTTTGGGGACACGTCTCCATCGTGGCTTACTTGGGGAATCTCCGGGGGGGCCGCCTGGGCTTATCCCTCCCGCCCAGGAATCGACCCCCCCTTCAGGGCGACCAGAGAGGGATCCCTGGAAAGTGGGGGGTCCAGTCCCCCCTCCCCTTCATTCCTGCAACCTCCACCCTCTTCCCACCCCATAAGTCCCTGCCCTGTCCGGACGCAGCGCTTCTGCCCAGTCCAACCACTGGTCCCCTAGAGAGGAGAGGAAATCCCGAGGGGAGGGGGGAGGCCTTCTCGGAAGCGGCTCTTGGTTTCCGCAATCCCACCCAGGAAGCAGCCAGAAACCTTTTCCTCTCTCTCAGGCTTCCGTCTTTATTGTCTTTTCCGCTGAGGGTGAGGATAATGTACACCTGTCATCAGAAACAGGGGTGCAGAGTCCATGGAATGGCGCTCAGGATTGATAGAGAAGTTGCACCTCAAAAGCATTTCTGTTCCCCCTATTCTTTGAAGGCAGTGTCAGAGTGACTGACAAGCTGAGATACAATCCATCAGCATCCGATGACAGCGACTGCATGAATCTTCCCAGTCAAAGGACCCATTTTCTTGATAGACAGTGCCTGTGGCTGGAG